GTTCACAGGTATACTTTGCACAGAGCCCCATGTTCAGAAGGGCCTCACACTAGGTTTATTGCGCTATCACTGTTCTGTCATTCTTCATAATTTTGGAACAAGAGCCCCACATTTTCATTCTGCACTGAATGCCTCACAAATCATGTAACTGGTCTTATATGTTGCAGTACAACTTCAATGGCAACTTAATGGTAAATAGACCAAGGTGTCAATCTCATCCCTGGGCCTTATAGCTATGTGAACTTGGACAAGCTCCTTGATCTCAGAAAGCCTGTTCCACCCTTGTTTACCAGATGGGGATTGAAAGTGTTTACAGGATTGTCTTATGATTGAATAAAATAAAACATGTGAAGAGCCTCGCAAAAAAAAAAAAAAAAAAGAGTCCTCATGATTTCTCTCCCTCTCTCTTTTATTCCCCCCTCCTGTATGTTCATCCATTTTGTTTCTTAAATTCCACATATGAGTGAGATCATATGGTATGTTTCTCTGACTGACTTATTTCGCTTAGAATAACGCTCTCTAGCTCCATCCACATCATTGCAAATGGCAAGATCTCATTCTTTTTGATGGCTGAGTAGTATTCCATTTGGTATATATACCCCCTCTTCTTTATTCATTCATCAGTCGATGGGCATTTGGGCTCTTTTCATAGTTTGGCTATTGTGTAGTTTACTTTCTCTGTGGATTTGTCTCTTCTGGTTAGTGCATATCAGTAGGATATGTGGCCTTTTGTGTTTGGCCTCTTTCACTTAGAATTTTTTTTTTTTAAGATTTTTAAAATTTATTTATTTGAGACAGAGAGAATGAGAGAGAGAGAGCACATGAGAGGGGGGAGGGTCAGAGGCAGAAGCAGGCTCCCTGCCGAGCAGGGAGCCCGATGCGGGACTCGATCCCAGGACTCCAGGATCATGACCTGAGCCGAAGGCAGTCACTCAACCAACTGAGCCACCCAGGCGCCCTCACTTAGAATGTTTTTGAGGTTCATCTCTGTTTTAGCATATCTCAGTACTCCGTCCCCTTTGTGGCTGAATAATAACCCATTCTTTGGATATACTGTTTTGTTTGTCCACTTATCTATCACTTGATGGACGTGGGTTGTTTCTGTGTCCTAGCTGTTGTGAAGGAAGCGGTTATGTACATTCACGTGTAAGTTTTTGTGTGGACGTATTTTTCCTTTCTCTTGGGTGTATAGCTAAGATTGGAATTGCTGGGTCATGTGGTAGCACGGCATTTACCTTTACTGAGGAACCTCCAGATAGCTTTCCAAAGTGACTGCACCATTTTACATTCCCTCCAGGTATGTGCGACGGTTCGTTTCTCTGCATCGTCTCCAACACTTGCTCTTACCTGTCCTCTTTATTACAGCCCTCCTAGTGGGTGTGCTCTCATTTTATAGGTAAGAAAATGGATGGTGCATTGTTTACCGAAGTTCATAGAGCCTAGTCAGTTGCCAAGTTAGAACTTTTTTTTCTTTAAAGCAAATACTTGTATGATGCGTGCTCTGTGCTAGGCATTATTTAAGTCTTTTGCTCTTATTATTTATTCTTTACAACAACCTGTAAGGAAGGTACTGTTATCATCTGGTTTATAAGTGCACACAGGGCAGGACTGGGCCTAGAGCTGGGGTCCTTGGGCACCTCATTTAAGGAGACAGCACTCTGAGATTCCACCGGCACCTACACGACCCTTCTGTGCTGCATCCTGTGTGCCTCACTGGCCTCATCCTAGCTCTGACCCTGTGTGAAGAAACCGACACATCAGAAGATGGAGTAATTTACCCAAAGCTGTGTAAGTTAGTAAGTGGCAGAGCTCGGATTCCAACCCAGGAAACCTGGCTTCAGAGCTCAAGTCATTAACCACTGTGCTCTGCTCACATCTAGGCCTTTGATGCCCAAACTGGGCTTTTTTCTGTTTCTTTCTCAAGACCTACGTTTCCCAAATTTGGCAAGTGAGGAATACAAAGTCAAATCCCAAAGATGGGTTATGGGGAGACCAAATAGAACTAACTGAGCTCACAGCTTGCCAGGTACCTACCGCATGTTCCCTGGAAGGGTTAACTGGCCACACAATTTCCCTTGGCCACATCTGTGCTTGTTATCCCAACGCTGCATAAATCTGCCTAGTTCGTGTCGGCCACCCTGCAAGTGTCCAGATGGACCCTGTCCTGATGGGGAAGGGGCCATCCTGAACCGTCAGGATGATGAGTTCTGCCCGCTGTAAGGAAAACACATGCTCTCTTGGCCAAGTGGGGATGAATCTGCCCTTCGATCCAGCGTCCTGATTCAAGGATGCAGAAATCACATCTCTCACAATCACACCCCGACCGGCGGCTCACTCTTAGTAGCCTGTTTATCAGAGTTAACTGCTCATTTGTTTTTGAAACATCATCTTTCCAGTGGTGATGCTGTTCCTGTGGGTTTTGCATGGTTCTCCAGTTTAGGCCGAGGCTCCTGGAAGGTAACGTGGATACAAAAATGTTCATCGGCACATGCGTAGTTTACCTCCTCGGGGTGATGGGCAGTCTTTGGAAAGACGCTTACCCAAGTCATCAGCCAACAGTAGGTTCTCCCCCTGCTGCCTATGTTCCCCAAGAGCAGGATCAAGTCAGTCCCGGTTCAGTAGTTCTCGGGAGGTGAGATGCAACAGTGCATCCTGGCCCAGGCCGGCAGATTTCTGTTATGTTAGAAGAAAATTTTACAGCTGTTGTTCTCCATTAAAATGGTCACTCTTGGGGCGCCTGCGTGGCGCTGTCGGTTAAGCGTCTGACTCTTGGTTTTGGCACAGGTCATGATCTCAGGGTGGTGAGATGGAGGTCCTTGCTGGGAGTCTGCTTGAGTTTCTCTCTCCCTCTCTCTCTGCCGCTACCCACCCCCGCCCCGCTCTTGCACACTCTCTCAAATCAATCAGTAAATCTTTTAAAAATACGATCACTTTTATGGTTGCAATTTTACCCTTTTGTTTGGAATTTCAACTCCTCAAAGCTGTGGGACTCTGGACCAGCAGCACCAGCAGCACCTGGGAGCTTGTTGGAAATGCAGAGTCTCAGGCCCCACCCCAGACCAACTGAATCAGAATCTGCCTCTAACAAGATCCCTAGCTGATTCCTGGGCACATCCAAGTTTGAGAAGCACTGCTCCACGTGTCCTCATTTCTCTATTACCTTCAGCTGGCGTCTCTACCCAGCGTTTTCTTTGAGGCTAGAATTCTTGGTAGGCTTTCAGATCTTAAAAAGAAAAGACACACACACATACAGAAATTCTTTCCCTCGCCTTTACATGATGTCATTCATTTTACCTGGCCTGCCACAAGAAAGAAAAAGGCAAATTACATCCAAGTTATATATATGTTTTTAAGACTAACTTCTTAATTGCATGTCTTAAAGCGGCATACTGGATCCCCCATCATTAACAGAGTCCCAAGTGTTGGCAAGATTAATTGAGAAATGCCTCAAGGCAAAATAAACACTGCAGCGCAGTTTAATTCAAAACCGTATCAGCTAAGAATGAAGGTGCAATTAGTGATAAAGATGTTAATAATTAGTTGTGGTCTGTTAAATTTTATATTCAGTGGTTACATAGAATGAAGAAAGAATTTCCTCATGAGGACAGAAATTAATGTTTCACCTTGATTGCTGTTTTAATGTGCTTATTTTAATGGGGCCATCCTGTAGAAACCCTTGGGCACATTTCCAATTTTACATAAATGTAGAATTAATTATTATGGAAGCGTATAATTTTAGAGCTGGAATGACCTTCGTGGTCATTAGATCCAGCTCAGACATTTTACAAAGAAGTAAGAAATGATTTCTTCAGGTCCTGCCACAGAGTATTGGAACCTTGCTCCCCAACTCAGACCAGTGACAGTAAAACCCTTCTCACATCCCTGCAGACACAGACGCTTCTTTTTGCCTCAGAATTCCCAAATTACCGTGTGTAGTTGCTCGCAAGTCCCTTACCCCACATTACCCCATGTTCTGGTTGCTTTCTGTTGTAAGGTTGGGGACTTGGGAACCATATCTGACTCACTTTTATATTCTTGACCATTCCTAGCTCTGGGTTTTGTAAACAGTAGTCGCACAATAAATTTACATGCATTGTGGTGTGCTGGAGCTGTTGTATATCATTCGCTAGAGCTGGTTGTGTCTTCACGATGGTGGCTTGAGATTGGCCATGGCGGAAGCATTTATACCCTGGATGTAGATAAATGCCACAAACCAGGGCTATCTCCCCCCACCCTGCCCCGGAAAACCAGTCATTAAACATTCACCAGCACACAACAGTTTACATGATTTTTCTAAGGTCTCACAAGGCAACAGGTCTTGACGAAATCTGAAGATTATACCAACACGAAGATGCCTGTTCACCCAGCATTCGGCGTGTATTGCCTCAAGAGTGATGAATAGCCAACTGTTTGACCTCCTCTAATTTCTTTGGGGATTAATTTTGACCGAGAGCAAGTCAGGCCTCAGGGCTGCATTAGGGTGTGGTTGCTTAGCTAAATTCCCTTTACCTGGAAAAGCTATTTGGGCATGAATGGTAATGGAAACTAGTCTGAAATATCAGGCACAGTTGAGTGAGAAAAAAAACCCCACAGATTATTTTCAGAGAAAACAAAGGAACAGGAAGTTACTGTGGCCGAAATTACAATTATATCCTTATACTTCTCAAAAAACCTCAGTGGCTCCCTACAGCCTGCAAACAGGCCCAAAGGCCCTGCCGTCAGTCACATACTGACCACAGCTTACCGTTCCAGCCTCATTTTCCACCACTCACATCGCCCACCTTCTTTTGACTTTCCAGCCTCCGTGGAGCCCCCTCTGCGCCAGCTTCCATGACGTCCTCTTCTCCTGGAATGCCCTCCCTCTACCTCCCTGGTCCACCATAGGCTCTGTCCCAGAGTTTCTGTCCCTCCCCTGTCCCCTCCATCGTGGACCACAGCTTCGGGGTTAACACGGGACTTCCTGTGACTCAGTTCATCTCCGCTTGTGTGTCTTTCTTTAGGAGCAGGACCCGTGGTCCCATCGGCCCTGGCAAGTATGGCTACGGGAAGGCCCCGTACATCTTACCACTGCAGACGGACTCCGCACACTTGCCGCAGAGGCTTCGGAGGCAGAGGCCCCCGTCCCGGCATTCCAGGGCCCAGGTGGCATCCGGTCCTAGCCACGGCTACGGCCCGCCCGCCCACCGGGCTCCCCAGCAAGGGCCTCTGTACCAGAGTGACGGTGGCCCTCGTTCTGGACTGCAGACCTCCGAGGCCTCCCTCTACCAGCGGCCCTTGACCCACGACCAAGGCTTTCCCGCAGCTTCCAGTCTCTTCCAGGGCCCGGAACCCAGCAGCAACCACGGCATGGGGGCCCCCAGGGCAGCTCAGAGCTTCTCGCAGCCCGCCCGGTCCGCAGCCATCTCCTGCGTTGGAGCCTATCGGCAGTACAAGCTATGCAACACCAACGTGAGTACACACGGCCTCACGCCGGCCGGGGGGCCGCTGTTGCCCCTCTTTCTGCGCTGCCGTCACGTGGAAGACAGCGAGGGCCTGGTCCTTTAGGCCGTGTTAACGTACCCATGTATCTTCTCTCCTTCTCTCTTCTCTCCGTGAGTTCTCCATGGATACTTCTCCTTTTCATAAGGTTGTGACTTTAGTCTGGGTGCTGGGATGACTCCACTTTAGTCTGGGTGCTGGGATGACTCCACTACTAAGGACATGGAATTGCAAGGAACCTTAGAAAATGCTTGGGAATAATTCTTGACAGCCGGCTCTTGCTGCGTATCACACAACCTCCCTATTCTCAGGGGCACCGTATCAACAATATTTATTCTTTGTGCACGGATCGGTGGGTCAAGGGCAGTTTGGCCAGTTTAGGGCCGAAGGTGGCGGTGCCCAAGACGTGGGAGTTGGCGGAGGTTTGACCAGCACCCATACGTTCCAGTCACCGTCCTGCCATTCTGGGCGTGAGCACTTTGGATATTGTATGATGAAAAAGCCTGAGAGTGAATAACTTGCTAAAGGTTCCATAGCTGATCAGTAGCAAAGCGAATTATAGATGGGAACTATATAAGATGACCAACTGTGGTTTTTAAAAAAATATATCAGTTTAAAGAGTGTATCTAAAGGAGAAAGGAATAAGAGAATGTTCAAAGGTTAAATTTCCAAGTTGCTCTATTTTTCATTAATAATTTAATCTGCCGTAATATTCTGTTACTGGGCAACAGGACAGCTGTTCCATATTAGCTTCAATTTCCTCATTAAAAATATATTTCCTGCTATAGAGTCCATAGAAACGACTTAATTTGTGATCTTAATAATTCCTCTGAATGCCTGGATTGCTTTTTAGCCTGTTCTTCCACTGACAGACTTCAGGAATTATTAGTTTTTGTAAAGCAGTAATTTTTCTAAAGCCATTACAAATCAGTCAACCATTAAGTCTTAATCACCGCTTGCTTGTAACGGACGGGGAGACGTGGAAGATGAAAGAAAAGTCGTATTATCTATCTTGTAGAGTTGTTAGGAGGATCAAATGAGGTGATGTTGAGACAGGGCTTTCTAAATCGAAAAGAAATACTTGTGTCCATGATCATACGTGGTCCTTGTTCTTGAATATCATTACTATCCTTTTAAGGATCCTTAAGATTCAGGGGTACCTGGTGGGCTCAGTTGGTTAAGCATCCGACTCTTGATTTCAGCTCAGGTCATGATCTCAGGGTCGTGAGATAGAGCCCCATGGCTCCGTGACAGCCTCCGAGGTGGGCGTGGAGTCTGCCTCTCCCCCACTCTCTCTCTTTCTCTCTTAAGAAGAAGTAAAACTAAAATCTTCAAAAAATAAATGAAATTAATTCATCTGTAATGTAGAACACAGTCTCTCACTGACTAGTATGTTTCTTAATTTTGAAGACTACATAAATCATAAAGAGAAAGAAAAAGAGAGAGAGCATTTGGCACATATGTGGACCTGATATCTACTTAGTATTTCTGTCACTTCACCTACATTTTGCAAGCACGCACATTTTGCTAGGCCTGTGCTGCTGACAGCAGGGCCACCTCTCTCCATGTGCACGTTGTAGCTTGTCTGGGTGCTGGGATGACTCCACTACTAAGGACATGGAATTGCAAGGAACCTTAGAAAATGCTTGTGAATTTATGATGTCTGCCATCATTTGGCATCTGGCAAAGTAACACCTCTAACCCAGGACAGAGACGTCAATGTCGACAAAGGATTATATAGCTTTAGTTCCGTTTTCTTGGCTGTAACATTTCACACAGTCTCCTCCCCAGTGCACCCCATTATCCCAAGTCCCATCCTACTTACCCTTATTGAGAGATGCCATTCTTTAGAGGTTCCATGACTGCCTGTCTTCTTTTTATAAGCCCATGGCTTCTTGGCTCTTGGGTCATCCCCTATCCCCCATGAACACCTTAAGACTGCCTGTGTTAGGGCTCCCTAAGACCTCTCCTAGGTTTGATGATTTGCTGGGAGGACTCACAGCTATGACTTATTGCAATAAAAGGATACAGAGCAAAGTCAGCAAAGAGAGAGGCACGTGGGACAAAGTCTAGAGGAAGCCAGGCACACACTTCCAGAGTTCTCTCCCAGTGGAGTCACACAGGATTTGCTTAATTCCCCCAACCAATGAGTTGTGACAACGCGTGTGAAGTGCTGTCTACAAGGGAAGCTCATTAGAGACTCGGTGCCCAAGGTTTTTACTGGGGGCTGGTCACATAGGCACCCTCTGCCTGCCACATACCAGAATTCCAGACTCCTAGAAGGAAAGCAGGTGTTGAGCGTAAACTATATTGCTAATACAAATAGTTTGGGCAAAGTGAGTCACTCTTATCACTCAGGGAGTGATGGAAACTCTTCTGAAATCCAAGTTCCCAGATGCCAGCCAAGGACCAATCTTGCAAGCAGGCCTTTTTGAAGAGAGCTGTTTCAGTCCTGCTGTGTGGAGTCTTACTTGCACACTTCCTGTGTGGACCCATGTGCTCTGGCACCTTAGCATGGATGACCTCATGTGGACATTTATGTACCCTCCCCTACCAGTGGGCAACATGAAGAGATAACATGAATCTCCAAATTGTATAAATCTTCCTACTCCAAGAGGAAAGAGGTGAAGGGCAGTATTGTGAAAAATCGTACTAGTCTCCCAGGGAATACAGGTTATCACTTATGTCCTCTCCAAAGATTAAAAAGGAATATGTGCATTCAGAGATTTCTCCCAGTTCCTATCTGGGAGAAGAGAAAGAAGGGAAGTTAGGCCAGGGCATGTTGGAAACATCCCCTGATTTCAGAACTCCATCCCTTAAACTAAGTGCCCAGTAGATCCCACCCAAGTTCTCAATGGAATACCCCACTTGCTAAGACTACCCCCACAGTAGAGGTCTCAGTTGTGAGATGTATGTGATGCATATGAGGGGTGGCGTGAACTAGGGGAAATGGTTTGGCAGGCTTCCAAATCTGGAAACAGTATCTCATCACTGCTCACAGTCCCTCCCTTAACACGCTTGGGGTCCAGGGGCAGAGAAGGTGCCCAGTGCAGCGGCCTGGATGTCATTGCCCTTGGTGCTGGAGCACTTGGGGACAGGGAGGAACTCTGGGAGCACAGAGCAAGAGGCCACTGGGTTGGGGAAGACTCCACTGAAGAGGGAATAGTTGAGCTGAGCTTCTAGGGGTGGCCGAAAGAGAGAAAAGGGCATTTGGGGGCAAAAGAAACAGCTTAGTCAAAGACAGGGAGGCAGGATTGTGCCAGAGCCTCAAGGCGCCGAGACACCTGCCAGGTCATAGGGCCCTTCTTTCTTAACCTCTGGCCTCCTCCTATCCACTTTAAATAATCACAATTTTAGTGGGCATTTTGTTCTTTAACATTTCAAAGTACAGAGATTTCACATGGGCCTTGCTTGACTTCTATACATGAGGTAGATGTGTGAGAAACTTAGAAACACAGTGCAGAGTGAGAAAGCGATCTAATCAGCTGGTTTAATTGGGGTTAGGCTGCAGGGCGTCTGAAATAGTGGGCTCGGGAGCAGGCTGTGCTGGACACAAGCCCCAGTTTCCTTGGGCAAAGCGCTCAACTCCCTGGGACCATCTGGGAATTGGGGATAATAACAACACCTGTTCCACAGGGTTGATCGTGCCCACTAGGAGCTGATACGTTAGGAAATACGGTGGTTTGACCTGGAGAAGTAAACGTGGCTCTCGTGCCTCTCCGGAGCTTGGAGCGGAGCAGAGCTTTGCCATGTCACTTTCCAAGTGCTCAGTCACGAAACTGTGGTTGAGGGGGTCAGACTAGCTCAGAGTCCCCTTTTGTCCTCTGGATTACCTGGGGTTCAGAGTCCTTTCCCTTCACCCAGCAATAAAACACGATTGCTGGGGTGCCTGGGTGGCTCAGTCGGTTAAGCATCTGCCTTCAGTTCAGGTCATGATCCCAGAGTCCTGGGATTGAGCTCGGCATAGGGTTCCTTGCTCCTTGGGGAGCCTGCTTCTCCCTCTCCTGCTCCCCCTGCTTGTGCTCTCTCTCTCACTCTCTCTGTCAAATAAATAAAATCTAAACAAAACAAAACAAAATACAATTGCCAAGAGCCCCAACATGTCAAGTGTAATATAGCTTCCATGCAATCACCCTTGGGTCAGGTGTAAAATGATGAGAAAGTGAAACTACAGATAAGTTCCTGCCAGTGAATGCTAACAACCTCAAATGTGCATGTTTAATGTGAAGCCCTACCTTGTGATGTCATCTGGGAATTTTAAACATCTAGTGTGTCTTTAGGATTGTTTGACTCCTATTAAGATGTCCTTTATGAAATACTAGAAAATAAATAATAAATGCAGTCCTAATGATCTCTGCATGTAGACTTTAAAGATAAGGAAGGTTTTTTTTTTTTTTTTTTAAGATTTTATTTATTTATTTGAGAGTGAGAGAGAGCATGTGCTGGGGGAGAGGCTGATGGAGAGGGAGAAGCAGGCTCCCTACTGAGCAGGGAGCCCAATGCAGGGCTCAATCCCCGGACCCTGGGATCATGACCTGAGCTGAAGGAAGATGCTTAACCGATTGAGCCACCCAGTCGCCCCAAGGAAGGGTTTTTTTGGTTCTGTTTTTCTTTTTTTTTCTTGCTTACATTGTATGTGAAGAAGTTAAGGTGACACGCCCCAGTATAAATAGAGACGGTTTCGGTCTTTTAGAGCAGATACCGATCTTCGACCTCTATTGGTACAACACGCCAGGCCACTCGCTAGTGTGGGTTCTTACTTGGAGTCCATAAACACAGCATTGACATTGGCGGTGGGGTCAGGCGTGAGGCTGTGGGTCAGGGACACTGAGTTAAGGCAAGTCCTGGCTCTCAGTGGCTCACAGCCCAGTGGCAGAGACTCATAAATAGATCATGACAAGTATGGAGCGTAGGCAGCACTGCACGTGCTGGGAGGCTCTTTGAAATCGTACTAGGCCCGGCTTGGCCTC